TTCGAGAAAGTTTAGTTAATCAATCTTCAGTTCTTCTCCCAGTAGCATGAAATAATTCAAAAATAATAAATGAGTATAATATAAAGACATTGCAATATAAAATATTCACCTCTTCTAGAAATACTCCCTTCAAAATTGTCATCGAATCTCAAAACCAAATTCTAAAATACGAACTCTCAATCCATCGAATATAATCCCCCCCCCCCCCCCTGAAAATAATTATTTTGATAATTTTTAATCAAGCATTGTCGGCATCTGTGAGTAAATGGATAAACTGATAACAATATTTATCGAAAGTATAACAATGCAACATAAATTATAATTAAATGACATAAAATAAATTCGCTTCTCACTGCGATATAATTTATTCAGGACTCTTTCACAGACAACGTCTATTTTTGATGACTGTCATTTAGCCACTAATTGTCTTCCACGACTCTCTGTCATACTCTTCACACACGTACATTCTTCCACACAAACATTCCTCACAGTTATACCAAATATTCTACGACAACCACTACCACAGCATCGTCTACTTGCTCGAAGCTCGCAATTTTGAATCGACATCGCAATCGCAATCGACATTTTTAATCTACATCTCTCACGCGAACGGCAACCTGTTCGTTAACGATTGCCTTGCCGGTAATTCCATCGCGGCGGAATTAATCGATGAAAATGTACGCAACGTGGACGTTCCGCTGCGACAACTCGGCCAGAACTAATTGCGCTAAAGCGAATAAATTAGTTCGGTTACTCGTCGATCCGTTCTTATTAATCGTCCCGTTACGCAAGCGGCCTTCCACGACTGCGCGAATAAAGGAAGCGTTTTTGCCCTAACACGGAATTATCATAACCTGGCCTTTTTACCGTCCGTGCAATTACCCGCGCCTCGAGAGGCAGTCGCCGCCATGTTTCTTACCCGCGGACGCGATAATGCGCCGCGGAGAAATTGATCGCGAAAGGGTGGCGCGACGATCGCGTCGGGGCCGATCGGCAATCGATTAGTCACCGTTTTCGATTATACGTATGGTAATCGCGAGTGTCACGGAGGAAGTTTATTCATGCGGCCGCAATGGCAGTTCCTGTAACGCTTCGTTGACAGACGGCCATGACACACAAGCGTTTTTGCGGGTTTCACGCTTTTTCTCCGGCAGACTTGACGTCACGGTTGACAGTTTGGCATGAGTACGATGCCGTGACAACTCTGCGCTGTTAATAACAGAGGAGCGTGACTAGGTAACGATAGATTCGATTGCGGGTTTCTTCAGTGACGAGTCCTTAAGGATTCTTGTAATCCGGCTAATAAACATCGACCTCTTTGAGAATTTTTCCTGGGTAAACCGTGATACCTTCTGCTGCGTAGTTTCTGCAGGCAGATTTATTTATACTTGACGAATATTTCTAATTTTTTTTAAAGGAAATTATTGAAAATTGTGGAAATTATGTAGCCTTCCGATAGGCTCGGATGGCTGTCTCGATTCTGGGCCATCCGGTTATTCGAAACGGAAAAACTAAAAAGCATCTTGATCAGTATAAACACGGCTATAGCACGATCCATCGAAACAGCGAAATTTCGAAAATTAAAAAAATGGCGGCGTTATGAAGTGTAAATAGATTTTCCTCGTGCTTTTCCTCCTTTAGGTGGTAAAGAAAAATAGAAAAAAATATCGGATTTTGAAATCCGTGGTGCACGTGATGGAAGTATATCCGGTGAAGGTCTCCTCCAAATTTCGAGTCGATCGGTCAACCAAAACGCGAGATATCCCGTCGGCTAGTTCGAAAAACACGGTTTCGAGAAAAACGCGTTTGAAGTTTTCGTTCCCCGTTGAACAATGCCTGTCGGCCGCACTTTAAACATCTATAACTTCGCCAATTTTACGAATTCGAACAAATCCTTTCGCATGGACATTTTCGAAGGCTTACACTTTGAGAATATGTAAAAAAAAAAATAACTATATTTTAAGCCGGTTTTCATGAACACCCCCTTAAGTTGCCGCGAGTCACGCGTCTTGGAAATAGCGTATCTACGTTCTCTGTAAATTTTTCTCGTTTCATTGGTTATTATCGTATTTAATCGATGCATCATTGTATTGGTACCAAATGATTTATACGGGATAATTAGTGGTCTGCAGATTCGAAATAGAGGGAAGGAATTTTGATCATTTATAATACCTTTTCTTACAGGCAAGGAATATTCAGTTTATAGAGGGTTAATGGACGATCGTTAGCTCGGAGAAAACGAAAGCTCCAAAAGATTGATAATTATTATATGACAGGCACGCTGTGGGGTACAGTAAAAGTGAAACATGCAGGAAAGAATTGTTTTTACGTTATACTACTAGTAGTATAAAAATATAAGCAACTTTCTGAATCTCTAAATTCTTCTTACACTCTTATATAACCCTATTATATTTCCATTCCCATTTTTCAATCTTTCTCCCATAGAAAATCTCCCATCTTTCTCTATTTTCAAATTCTTTTCAATTTTTCCTTTTCTAACTTCTTTTTCCGATATTTTCCTCTTTTTCCATTTTTCGTTTGACAATTCCTCTATAGTTCTTCTATTCTTAACTATCACCAAACTTAAGGTGAAAAAATTAGTGTCATAATTGAGAAAAATGAATAAGAAAATGAAGATAAATAAGGAATGAATAAAAGTAAATAATAAAATAATCAAATTATCTGGGAAATTTTCTATTTGTTTTTATCTAACATTCCTCTGCTTCTGTTTTCGTTTGCTTCTGAATCCAAGAGCCTTCGACAATCGGGATTTTAGGGTCGGTATCGGATGTTCAATAAATCGTGGAGGGTATACACGTTTCTGCCAGCGTGTGCCTTGGAACCGTTTTTCTGTAAACACGATATCGAGCGTTACACGCAGAATCGTAAGAGGAAGCGAAACGACTTCCGCTGGCTTGCGTGCGGCACGTAGCTAATCTCTAATACGTTTCACGGCTTTTACGGATTCAAGACTATTCCGGAATAATTGTCACGCGTTACTGCAAGATGTAATTTTCCTTCAGCGTCTTCGCGTCGGGCCCAGGCTTAATTGCATGCCCGTAAGACCGTGTTTCTATGTATTTTGCCACAAAGTGTTACGATTAATCCCTTTGATCTGCGCCGACGCTCGCTGGGTTTATAAGACGTTGAAATATCACCGAGAAATTAGAAACGCGAGATATATTTGACATGCGTGCATTTCCCAGACCGTGCTTTCGAATATACCATTTTTAAAAGAATTTACTTATTTTTGCCTTATATATCACGGAAAAATTTATTTCTATCATTAGGATTAAATTTGTGGAGAAAATGATACGAATTTAACACGATTAATTGTGTCGTCTTAATGTTACTGAGCTTAGGTGAGGTTAGGGATGAATACTGCAAAGTTAGGTTAGGATTGTAGCACGGAGATTTTATATATGGTCGTCCTTTTAATAAAATGTAATAACGAAGATAATAATAATAATAATAACCAAAATTTCTAAAATATGAATTTTGAACTTGATCGGAGAATTAATATGAAAATATGATATGAAAAATTTATAGTCTATTTCCCCCCCAAAATCTAGTAACATTTTATTTTACAATCAACCTTATATACCTCTAAATTAAATTAAGCTTCGTTTCCGATAAAGATTCGCATAGATTTTGAAATTGAATTATTTACAAAATCTCATGAAGTATTATATTCCTCGATCATTATAACTTTTTCAACATAATTCAACAATTTACCAAACATCGACGAATCATAATTTAACCCCAGCGGGAATCGTTATACTACATATGAATTGTGAAACATGTAACAATTTAGGTTAGGTTTAGATACCTCCAAACTAAATTAAGCTTCGTTTCCAATAAAGATTCGCATAGATTTTGAAATTGAATTATTTACAAAATCTCATGAAGTATTATATTCCTCGATCATTATAACTTTTTCAACATAATTCAACAATTTACCAAACATCGACGAATCATAATTTAACCCCAGCGGGAATCGTTATACTACATATGAATTGTGAAACATGTAACAATTTAGGTTAGGTTTAGATACCTCCAAACTAAATTAAGCTTCGTTTCCAATAAAGATTCGCATAGATTTTGAAATTGAATTATTTACAAAATCTCATAAAGTACTATATTCCTCGATCATTATAAATTTTTTAACATAATTCAACAATTTACCAAACATCGACGAATCATAATTTAACCCCAGCGGGAATCGTTATACTACATATGAATTGTGAAACATGTAACAATTTAGGTTAGGTTTAGATACCTCTAAACTAAATTAAGCTTCGTTTCCAATAAAGATTCGCATCGATTTTGAAATTGAATTATTTAGAAAATCTTATGAAGTACTATATTCCTCAATTATTATAAATCTTTTAACATAATTCAACAATTTACCAAACATCGACGAATCATAATTTAACCCCAGCTGGAATCGTTATATTATATATGAATTGTGAAACATGTAACATTTTAGGTTAGGTTTAGATATCTTAGTAACATAAATTAGGCTTCGTTTCCAATAAAGATTCGCATAGATTTTGAAATTGAATTATCTACAAAATCCTATAAAGTACTATATTCCTCAATTATTATAAATCTTTTAACATAATTCAACAATGTACCAAACGTCGACAAATCATAATTTAACCCCATCTAGAATCGTTATATCATATATGAATTGTGAAACATGTAACATTTTAGGTTAGGTTTAGGTGAAGTTATTAAATCTTATGGTATTTATTTTGAATTTGTACGAATATATTAACAATTTAGGTTAGGTTTAGGTGAAGTTATTAAATCTTATGGTATTTATTTTGAATTTGTACGAATATTTGTATGATTATTCGCGCCGAAATTGACGAGGAATAACAGAGCGTGGATGGTGTTGTTGACAGGATTCGCAGAACGGCCCGGTGCTGGACCGATGGAGCATCTGCTCTCCTGAAGAGGAGCCGCTGGTACTACAGCAGTTCCTCAGATTCGCCGAGACGCGTCCGTTCGTGCAGCAGTTGCTGCTGGCCGCCGGGACGCCGGGTACGGATGCTATGTCACCAAGCAGACGACCTTCGCCACCGACGATGCCACTAGCACACCTACCACCACCTTTGCACCTGCTCCACTGCGGCCTGCCGCCCCCAGGCTCGAGGCTGCCGCACCCCCTGCCACCACCGCCGCCGCCACCCTCCGTCTCGCATCCGTCGATGTCGCCCTCGGCTCAGAAGCACTATTCCACCTCGTCCGGGGGGAACTCCGGGGTGACGAGCAGCGCCAATTCCCCGCCAAGGAGTCTGGACTCCCATCTGACGGTGTCGCCGCTCAACCGACTGCAGAGCATGCAGCCATTCGACTTCCGGAAGTTGGAGACGCTCGGACTACCCGCTTTCCCCCCTCTACCACCGCCCCCGCCGGCCGAACAGCTGCTGCAGAACCGAAAATCCATGAGGAACCCTCAGAGTCCGCACAGTCCGCCTCATCACTCGAACAGCAACCAGCTGCAGAGGCCACACATGCCACCAGTGGCGCCGGTGTCTTCCTCAGCGCTCAATTTCGGACACCCACTCTCGGTGGCAGTGTCTTCCGGTGCTCTGCCGCCTAGTTTCGCGGCTCACTTTCCGCCACCACCTATGGGCAAGTCATCGATGTCGGTAGCTGGCATGACGGCACCCGCAGACGTGCACAGTGGCGGGGAGAAGAGCAGCGAGTTCGGTTCGGAAGAGGGCGAGGAAGACGACGAGAATTCTGACAGCGCTTTGAACCTAAGCAGGCGCGAATCCTCGTCTAAGCATATGAACGAGCAACGACACCATCCGCCACTACCTCTCCAAGCTGTTCCACTGGGCAGGCCACAGGGGATCCCCGGTAGGAAGCCTCATTCCCCTGGCAAACGACCTGGTAGCCAATGGGGAGCCTCTGCCAATATCCCTCCTAATCTCGGTACACCGTTTATCAATCCCACCACGGGCAAGAAAAGGGTGCAGTGCAACGTGTGTCTGAAGACCTTTTGCGACAAGGGCGCGTTGAAGATACACTTCAGCGCGGTGCACTTGCGCGAGATGCACCAGTGCACCGTGAAGGGGTGCAGCTTGATGTTCAGCTCGAGGCGGTCGCGCAATAGACACAGCGCCAATCCTAATCCGAAGCTGCACTCGCCCCATCTACGGCGGAAGATCTCGCCGCACGATGGACGCTCGTCCATGGCGCATGCGCTGGTCCTGCCACCTCAAGTGGGTTTGCCTGTCGCGGCCACTGCTCTCAACCATCTTCCTTTTAGTTCGTTTCCGTTGTTGACTCCACCTCCAGATCTTCGATCGCCAGCCTCGTTGTGCGGCCTGGATTTCAAGCATCTCGACTTGCAGTCCGCTCAGAGTCAAGGTAGACCGGGCTACGACGAGGCGATGCAGCAGAGAATGAACGCGAACACGGGTATCTCGACCACCACCGCGTTAACTACCCCCAGTGTAGCTATGACCACGGCTACCGAGACACCAAACACCACCGCCGCGGCTAGAGGTTCCTTCTCTAGCAACAGCGTGGTCGACACGGTGTCGCCCTCTACCCAGGCCTCCACGGCCGCCGCAGAGGGCGAGGAAGAGGACGAGGACGACGACGGTGGTATCGTAGTGGTAGCGGAAGACGACGCGAGCAATCTGCCCTCTAGGTTGCCTCTGCGCTCCGGAGAAGAGGACGACGAACGACCCGTCGACTTTAGCCTGGCCAAGAGACCGAAGCTCTACTTCGGCGACCCTGCTGACGAGGATCTCGTGAGTAACGCGGATAGCAACGAGGACAACGACTCGATGGGCACGGTGGATCAGCAAAGCTATTCCGTCAGTCAGCACTCGATGAACTCGACGTCGCTGCACAGCAGAGGCGTGAGGAAACGAAAATCCCAGCACCCGACTCGTTGCGCCGTTCTAACCGAGGTGCACTCCTCGTCCACCGACGGGGACTCGTCCAACGACGAGGAACGAGTTCAAAGACGCTGTCTGTCGGAAGGCACGGGCATCTCGTCGATGAACGACTTTCAGAGTCAGCCGGAGGACATGTCGATGTCGAGATTAGAGGCGGGTGAACGGAAAGCCTCGCCTGATTCGCCGAAGAACCTGAGCTTCAACGACCAGGAGTCGAGCTCCCGCTCGCCGGAAGCTTGCAACAGGGAGGGGGCTCGGGTGGGCGGGAAACGCGACACGGTGTCGTCGCAGGAGAATACGGAGGATCTACCTCAGGACGAGCCGCGGGATCTGAGCTCGAGAGCGAGCAGCGTGAAGTCGCCGAAGAGGCAGATCAGTCCGGAGCCAAAGACATCGCACGAGTCGGCGGAAGCTCGTCCCGCGGAAGCTAACGCGGTTCCCGTTGCCTCGATCGGTCATAATAAAGATGCTAGTTCGTTGGATAAAGATGAAGGAAGAGGAGAACCAGGAGGAGGAGGATGACGAAGAGGATGAACCGATGGAAGAGGTCGAGGAGGATGATGATGATGAGGAGGTGAACGCGGCGCTGCGCAGTCAAGAAGGTGAGCGTCCCGATGATCCCTCCCGTGCCCCGAGCTCGGTCGACAGCCGTCCGACGACAGCCGACGACCTCTCCCACGACTCCTCGACCAACACTTTGCGTCAACTCGAGTCCTTGTCGCAGGGTCGCGCGATGCAGTACACCGGGATGCAGCAGGCGGCTTCGAGGTCTGGCCGCGGCTCTACCAGCCCTGTCAGCCTCACGACGCACCAGGAGACCACCATGGACAATTCCTCACGTGGCTCTCGTTCATCCAGCGCCTCACCCTCCACAGCGGCCATGGATACGGACAATAGCCTTATCACCTATGCCCGTTACGAGAACGGTGGCTTCGTCAGCACCCAGGAGGTGCCACTGGACCGGGAGAATCCCCGCCGCTGTACCGCCTGCGGCAAGGTGTTCCAAAACCATTTCGGGGTCAAGACCCACTATCAGAACGTCCACCTAAAGCTGATGCACCGCTGCAGCGTGGACGGTTGCAACGCGGCCTTCCCCTCCAAGAGGTCTCGCGACAGGCATTCGGCTAATCTGAACCTTCATCGAAAGCTCCTATCCACGTCGTCGAGTCCGCCTCTGTCGTCCAGTCTGCCACCGAGTTTGTCACCCAGGGTAGAGGAGTCTCAAATGAATCCGTTGTTGCACAACGAGTTCCTCGCGAGATTGTACGCTGACGCGGGTATCGGTGCTCTCGGAGCCTATCCTCTGACACCTGGGCTGCCGTCAGCCGTCGACCTGGCAGCGAGGATACCGCCCCCACACCCTCTTCTACTGCCACCTCACTTGGGAGCAACCTTCTCCGGTTTGTCCTCGTTCGCCTCTCACCTGGCTGGCCTGAACGGGCTCACGCATCAGCATTTGAATCATCTGACCAGAATGTCTCAGGAGCAGGGACACAGACATCCCTCTGGCTCGGGCTCCCCGATGTCCTCGCCAGGCTCCGAGGATCGCAAGGAAGAGGCCAGATGTACGATTCCTGGCTGCGACCGGGTGTTCGGCTCCAGAGCAGTCAGAGATGCTCACTCGAAGGACCCACAGGCCCACCGCGACCTGTCTGTTCTGTCGACCAGCGGCTCGTGACCGATCTCCTTCCGCGGCCGCGACTATTATCCCCTACTGTGATGCCAAAACTCCGATCGCCGATGATCTCGACTGGAATGGGCCGGCGGAAGACTCGGCTCGCGATCTCGCTTCGGTATGTCCAGTCGTTCGACGAAAACGTGCAATATCGGGGACGGGACACCTCCCGGGCAGCCGGAAGCTCGCCGAGCAAGCGCGTTTTCCCGCGTGAACGTCGGTTCCGGGTGCTAGGCCGATCTCGACGCGGTTCAGTGGTTGCCGGACTACGTTCAGCGAAAGTACTTAAGAAACAGGACCCAGGTGATTCGAATCGACCGTTTCCATCCACGAATCTTGCCAGCGACAGTGGCGGCATCTCTCGGGGCGACCTGGGATGCTCACTGACGCCTTCCAATCCCGGTTCTCGAGTTAGTTTTCGTGCAAACGCAAGGTGCTCCAATCTAGTCAATTCGGAAACCCTCGGCCACGCCGCTGGAGTCGGAAATTCGTCCACCCCGCCCACGTGATCGCGCGCGATCGGCCAGCTCGGTTAACCGATCGTGTCCCCCTCTTCGAGATCGCGACTCGTTCCTCGTGGTCCACCGGAGGGGCACCGAATACCCGAAACAGGGTACGAAACGAGTGAAATTCGATAAATTGAACTTCGACGATGGAAATTCCTGCATCGAGTCACGTGGTGCGCACAGGTCCGGTCCCATGGGGGTCCCCCGTTCCAATTCGCGTGTCACGGGGCACGAAAAGAGAGAGAGAGAGAGAGAGAGAGAGAACACGAGCTGGTCGACTGAAGAGCATTCGGTGAATCGGACTGATATTTCGCTGCTCGTTTCTTTCCCTGGTAATCGAAAGGGCGACGGAGGAGATCGAAGGAGGTTAGGTTCGATGGGGAGGAGGTTAGGCGAAAAATGGAGCGACGAATGGATAGATCGAACGCGCCCTCGTTTCGGTCTTCCGGCTGATTTTATCATCGTTGTGATAAACGTAACGTTTAGTATAAATATGCCACTTATTTAATCAGTAATCAATTACTACTGCTGTATATATAAACATAGTACCTTTTTTCGATGTATCGCGTAATTAATCAATTAAGCTATTTCGACGCGACCGATGCGACGCGAGGCGAACTCGCTGGAACGGAGATGATGACGATAGTTTTGTAACAGAGAACCGATCCGGGCCGGGAAATCGAGCCGACGACTGAGAATTGGTGCGCGGCAGCGGAGTAGTTCGGACCAGGCGTCTAGATGGCAGGCCACACGCGTTCACTGCCCACCACGCCATATTGGAACGGGTGCGACTCCTAACCTCTTTACCGTTTCATCTCCCTTCCATTCGTAGCCCATTTCATCATCGTGAGTATCGAATATGGAATTTCGAAGTGCTAAAATCAAACCAACACCAGGTAATCGATCTTTTCTACAATTTCCCCCTCGCTTTAACCCACTTTTCGCGTTATTGTCAACTCACGAGTCACCGGTATGGCGTACCCCGAGTCATCTCCAATCTTGCAACACGATCCAGATTACCTTCCAAAGCCGGATCTTCGGTCCCAAACATTTCCAAACGCTCAAAATCGGCAGTGAACGCATCGAAACGAGGAGTGAGAGTAATAATTAAAGCAAAACGGACAGGAAGCGTGGCGGCGAGCAAAGGGGCGGGCACCGATCGACCACTGAATCAAAGCTGACGGACGTCGTCTCGCGCTAGATAAATGAGAATAGATAGATTTTATTTATTGTTTCCTAGGGATCCAAAAAAAAACACGCTGTACCAGCGGCCAGTAGCGGGCACTGCCGCGGAAACTTCCTTCTTATGTATATCATCGAACGATTCGCCTGTCGTTCGATCGTAGCTGATCGTCGATCGATCGCGTCAGAGACGAACGAATTCAGAGGAACGTGTAAAACGAGAAACGAGAATGTTTTTCTCACAATGACGCTCGATTGACGATCGATCGATCGTTTCCTTTCTTTTTTTTTTTTTTTTTTTTTTTTCTCTCTCTTTCGGTTGTACATACATTGTATACCTTATTTTCGTAGTCTGCGCATGCGCGGCCTAGGTGGCGCGCGCGTCACCCGCGTGCGAATCGGAGACGAGCGGGAGAGACAGAGAGGGCCGGAAACAGGTTCTTTCTTTTGTACGCGCCTGCGCCCAACGATTTTTCATGTTTCTCGGCTGAGAACGGCGGCATGATGGGAAATGAAAAAAGGGGGGGAAAATGGAAATAGGAGAAGAAAAAGATTTTTTGATGGCAGCTCGCGACACACGACGAACCCACTAACTAATTACACATCGTAAGGGCGAACCAGAATTTACAATTGTAATTATGTATAAACGGAATGCTATGATGTATGATATTATAGATCGATTATAAAGAACACTCATCATTATGAAAATAAATACCTATCGAAATCATTCGAGACTGTGTCTGCGTTCTACGTTACCCTGTCACCTGTCATCAAAATGATTTTAGGCACGTGGTTCAGTAAATGAAGGGGAACACGTTGCAGCGATTAGGGTACCTTCATGGACTGTACCTTGTTTACAGGTATCAATGATTCTACATAAAATTTATCGAATTTGACATAATTTGAATCGCGACGTAATCACGATACGAAAATTGCTATTTACTTCCAGTTTACTATTTATTTTTAGGGATTTTGTAAAATTTGCGAATCTTTTTATATTAATTATTCCATAACGCAGTATTCGGGATTGTTATTTAAATATATCTTCCTTGATAAGTAACTTTAACTATTTTGCAATCCAGGTAAGTAATGACCAATATTTGCAGAAAATTTGAAGATACGTATTTTAAAAAATTGACCATTAGAATTTTAGATTCTAAAATTTGAATAGTAGCAATAGTAGATTATTACCACAATACTATTAATGTAAAAAATAGAAGGATCAGTTATTTATGAAGAATTAAGCATCCAAAAGTTTCCAAAAATCAAATTCTTTTTCTCGGATAAAGATTTATGAATCTTTTTATATTAATTATTTCATAATAGGGTATTCAGGATTGTTATTTAAATATGTCTTTCTTGATAAATAACTTAAATTATATTGCAATCCAGGTAAGTAATGACCGATATTTACAGAAAATTCGAAGATACGTATTTAAAATATCGACGTTTAGAATTTTTGATCATAAAATTCGAGTGGAAGCAATAGTAGATTAATGTTATAGATGACCCGTACCCAGTCCAGGTGCCAAAAATCGGCAGGAACTTCCCGAAAGACCCGAGTCACATGGCGTTACGGTTAACCTCGAAACCGCGTGCAGCGTTGCACGCAAAGCCGCGGAGAAAAACGAAAAACCGCCGACCCCGCCTACGACCTCGTACGCTCGACCTCGTTTTCTGCGAAAGAAATCCTCTTGAAACGAGGGACGCCGGCTCGTTTATCAGGGATCTCGCGGGCGTGCACGCGCACGCCTACCAATCCTCGTGCCACGAACCAGCGAACACGAAGAACAAGAGAGGAACGGTGCGAGAGGAAGAAGAGCCGAAAAGGTGGAAGGTTTGCCCGATGCTCGCGACCTTTCCTTTCTCCGATTCCCGGGCCAAACAGACGAAAAAGGTGGGCTGACACAGCGGGCCCACGGTAATTAGAAGTGTCCCGATAGGGTTCCACGCGGCAACGATCACGGTGGCGCGAGGGAGAGAGGGAGATGGTTAATTACGTGCAAGTGGATCAGAGATGGACGAGACGTATTCGTGTGTCGGGCCTCACGGGACTCACCGCCGGCCTTTAATCCGCCAGACAGATTAGATTAGCACCTTCGATTCCCTGGGACCCCTAACGTACGACCTGGCCGCTTAATAACGGGTGCACGCGAAATCGAATCCTCCGAGTCGGAGGACTCGCGAAGATCAGTCGTGATTAGAACCGAGTGGCGGAGGAGTGGGGGAACGTCGATCCGGTGCGTGCGCAGCCTTCGTTTAGGTTAGGTCCAACGCGCTGGGAAGGTTAACCCTATGCACTCGTATGAAGAATCTAACTCGTTATGGGTTCTCGTTGGAATATTTGAATTACGTGCTACTCTTGTGATACGACAAAAATAAAAATAAAAATACAACGTGATAGTTGACAGTTTAGGGTTATTAAAGATGGAGCGCTATACGAAAGAACAACGCGTTTTTACTGTTGAGCAATATTTGCAATTAATTAGAAACCTGTGTTTTCTGTGAAAATTACTTCTTTGTGAACTTTGGGACAACTATAATATATTATAGTGATTTGAAATCGATACTGTCGTACATAACCAATAGTGTTAGGTGTCAATCTGATGTATGTCACCACTAGTGTTAGGTGTTAACCCTTTGCACTCGGTGATTACTTTCCTTACAGAAAAATAGCAATTCAAAGACTTTCCGCTGTAACGTCGAGGATATTTTTGAAACAGTAAATAATTTTATTTCGTCATTCCATGCAATCTTAGGTTATGTTAGATTTGATATATTAATTAACATGGATCTTCGGAATTTGATTAAACGGTGACTTAGGCTCACCTCTCGAGTGCAAAGGGTTAATTTTACATACACCACCACTAGTGTTAGGTGTCAATTTGACATACGTCACCACTAGTGTTAGGTGTCAATTTGACATACATCATCACTAATAGTAGATGTCAATCTAATATTCGTCATCACTAGTGTTAGGTGTCAATCTGATGTACATCACCACAGTGTTGGCTGTCAATCTGACATACGTCACTACAAGTGTTACTTGTCAATTTGACATACGTCAGCGTTCTTAGGTCATGCCAATTCCTGTCTACGACGCCATGTCATTGGAATACCAATCGAATTGCGGTAAGGCATCAGGAAAGCTTTGCCTCTTCGGAGGACACGGAGGCCCGATATAGAAGCTACAAAATCCAGTCGGGCGGTCGTAAAAACAAAAGACTGGCCGCGAAGGCCCGAGATAAATGGATTTGCCGTGGCTTCGAGGCCACGAGCCCAGGCGTCGAGTACGCGTACTCGTATTCCGGGCTAGAACTTTACTACCGCCTCGGCGAGTCGC